TAACAAGGGCCCAGACAACGTAGAAATCCCTTTTGCTTTTATTTAACTTTCTAAGTCATCTAGGCAGGAAATGGAGTTGATTTTCTTGATGCCTCGAAATAAACCAATGAAATAAATTTCCAGAAGTTATCGAGTGCCGGAATGAATAAAGTAACAGTCAACCGCCTCATCGCCAAGTTCAAGGCCAAGTTCAAGGGAAAGAGAACTGCCGCTGGGGATCGGCGGTGGACACGGACCCAAGGTGTCCGATAGACTCGTTATGGTCTTAAGGCGGCAGTTGAAGTGTGAACCATCCCTGACAGCCGGAAAAATGAAGAATGAAGACTCCAAACTCTTCGAATCAGGGAATGTTTACGCTATACGAAAGTGCATCGAAAGAGGTTTTGTGCGAGTAGATGGGGACGTGTAGCGAAGCACAGGCGACCAAGCAGCAACATGATTAAAGTGCATTTGTCAAAGGGCACTGTGACCAGGACGTGGACGGCTGAAAATACTTTGGGTAGAGGAAGCTACTTTCTATCAGAAGTACAGAAGGAACAAGGGGGATCAGGGAGAGAAAAGGACTATATATATGCGATCCAAACATGTCATCAAAACCACATAATGATATAGACTTTGGTCAAAAGTATGTGGATGTCTTTTGAAATGGCGGCCTGGCTGACGTTCCTCATATTTTGCTAATACCAAATGGATTGAAACAAGGCCTCGTTTCGAGGGGAGTCGATCTGTATAGAAACATACATACGTAAACACGTATATATAATGTATATATACATACATGAACACATGCATACACACACACACACACATATATATATATATAAACACAAAAATACAAAATTATATATAAACACACATACACGCATGCATGCACACAACACACATATACAGGTATATACATCATATACACACACATATATATTGATATATACATATCTATATGCATATACGTATATCCATTTATAAATATTTACGTATAGGTTTGCACAGGTACACATATATATGTATGTATATATATATGTATATATAAACATACATATATATACGTACATATGTGTATATATATATATATTCAAACATAAGCGGAAGTCTTCCATCGAAATTGTGATGGAAGGAAAATGGAGGTCGTGTCTTTTTCCCTCTCACCTTCTCACGTGCATAATTCAGCTCGTGTTCGTAAGATGTTAGATTTAAGGGATACTTGGAAACAGATATATATATATATATATATATATATAATATTATATATATATATATATATATATAATATATTATGAATCCTATACGCTGATGTCAAGTCGATGCCAAACTAAACACATATAGGTAACATAATTCGTAGATTCAAAGATATTGGTATCAAAAGATAGATTGAAATGTAAAATACAATATGTTTATTTTCACGTTTCAGAAGAGGATGTTCACATGTCTCTTTCAGTCAGTTATTTTTCCCAAGATATCACGATGAAATCACAAGGCAACTTTTTTTATTGTTATTTTTTTTTTTTTTACGTACTTTACGTATTTCCAAGGACGACGTGTCGCCATGTATGTTAAAATATTGTACAATTCACGTGAAGTTCCGCACATCACTCCTGTGTCTCGACATCAGGTGTTTGATGATCGATGTGTGTAAGCGCCCAAGAGACAAACATATATATATATATATATATATATATATATATATATATATTATATATATATTGTGGTGTGTGTGTGTGTGTGTGTGTGTGTGTGTGTGTGTTGTGTGTGTGTGAACATATACATATCTACACATTATACAAATGTTATATAAAATGGAAATCTGTACATACTATATGTATGAGTGTGTATGTATATATATATATATATATATTATATATATATATATATATATATATTATATATATATATATATATATAATGTATATATAACAGAGAATATTTTCCTCTAATATCATAATAGGAGTGATGAGAATGAAAATCGAGTTATTTCTGTGCATAAATCACCTGTTGTTTGTAGATGGTAAGATACAAAAGATTTTTTCTAAAAATAAGAATCCTAAATAAACTTTTATAATAAAACCCTTAGAAATGAAATCAATGCCAATATAGATAAACGTTTGATAAGATATGCTTCTTTAATTCAAAGATATGCTTATACGAAGGGGAATTGAAAAATAAATTACGTAAAATGATATTTTATTTTCATGTTCTTTAAGGCGGGGAATTCGGTGTTCTTTGCAATCAGTTATCGTTTCTGCCGATGAAAGATGTGCCTCGCACTTGCGTTTGTTAAACATGTTCAGTTCATTTACCCACTAATGTGGCTTGAGATCAGGTGTTCGGTGACTAATGGTCGATGGTGTAGGCGCCCAAGAGACAAGCACAGGTGGCGGGAAGCTTGAAGGTCTCGATGGCGAAGGGGAAGTACTGATCATAGGAGTCGTAGACAAGGAAGCGGTGGTAGACGGACTTCTGCAGACACTTGGACTCGTAGCACTCAGGCACCAGAGGACATGCATCGGCGGAACTGAGACACTCTTCGATGCGTGTAGTCTGAGTGAGAGTCTGATAATGTGCATCGATATTGTTGACAACGACACGCCATTTTCCCTCGGTGTTCAGGGCACGAAGGGGCCTGACGTAAGCAGTCTCTGATGGCACAAGTAAGTTTCCTCCTCCAGGGTGTTTGGTCGGTCGACAGACAGCTCGGTGTTGAGGTCGGCGACGTCAGCATAGAGGGAGAGGAGCTTCTCGTAGTGGTACTCTGCTGCGTGTTTGATCTCGTAGGTGGGATAGTGGTCGTCCTCGAGGCACCAAGCTTTGGTTGTGTTGGCAGCACATTCTGGCACAGCAGGCTCGTGATGATGCTCATAGGAAGGCTGTGGGTGATAAGCGGGAGCAGGGCGGTAGGAAGGTTGTGGATGGTAGGAAGGCTGAGTGTGGTAGGTAGGTTGATGGTGGTATGAAGGGCTTGCATGGTGGGAGGCCAAAACCACGACCGCCAAAGACAGCGAAACCTGCAATACAGAATATGGTAAGATGAGTTCATATCAATCATAAGTTCATATGCATCCATCATATACATGGTATTTCTTGCACGCACTAAACACATCCACATCAACATTCATCTGTGCATGTAATTGTATCTCAGAACATAATAGGAACTCACCAAGTATCGTAAAGCCATGCTTCCTCTTCCTTCGAACTATAGCGACTGTGATGGTGGGCGCCTTTATATATGGAGCAATCCCTCCTCCCCCCCTCCACCCCCCGGCAGTACAACCGAACCGTGAGAGTAATTTCATTTTTATTCATAGATTATTTTATACGTTCTTGCGTGCTTATATTTTGCTTTGCTCAACATGTAATATAACATATGATAGCAAAATAATAAAAAAAAATAAAAATAATAATAAAAAAATAAAAATAAAAGAAGAGAAAAACAGCGTGGAATATGAACGATTCGAAAAGAATTGAGCACTTTTGGAAGCCAATAATTAAGGTGAAGGTATCCTTGGGCCAGCCAGCCCGCTTCGGAGAGATCTAGACGTGTTTCCTTTCTCTGTCTTGCGCGTTTGATCACGAAGATCATTAATGGTGAACTTAATTATCAATATGTGTGTCTGTGTGTGCAGTACATATTCATTTTTAGAAAATGTGTGATTGAAAATGAACATCTTCATAGTGCAAAAGATCTGCTGCGTTAGTTCCGATTACATCTTTGTCAGAAATACCTACTTCTCTTGTACTGTGAAGATATTCCTTCTCATACTTTTTCTACATTTACGGCAGTGAACACGGTCCAAAAGGCAAAATATATACATACATACATACATACATACATACATATATATATATATATATATATATATATATATATATATATATATATAATATATATATACACACATTTATGTATTTATATACAGAATCCACACATATTTATATACAAGCACACATAATTAATATATATATATATATATATATATATATATATATATATATATATATATATATATATATATATATATATATATATATATATATGTATTTATGAATTGGTATACATATATTCATCTATACAGTATCCACACATAAACATATATATCAAAGTATGAATGTATGCTGTTAACACACGCACACACACAAACATATAAATTGTGTG